TGTTTCTACCTTATAAGCTTTGGTGACGACCCGACTTTTTCTCCGAGGCGCATCCTCCTCTTGGTCGCTGTCTGGCTCGTCACCTTCATCAATGTCAAAGTCGCTGTCTACCTCATCCTCTGTGTCCGAATGTTCTCCATGATATTCGTCATCTCCTGATTCCTGAAAGGTAACAAAAGGGCATAATTTAGCCAAAACTTTATGCAATAGAATAAATTACACATTAATGCAATAACCTTCGGTGTGTCAGTACGACAGGCAAAACTGCCCCCAAGATTTTCTATATGTTTCTATATGTCCAAATGTTAGACTATTTGTTATACATTTATAGTTTATACAGGTGTTTTGTCACAATTGTGAAGCTAACTAGGTTAGTGTAGTTAAGTTAAATTCTGTGATATGCATATACAGTGGGGAGAACAAGTTTTCCTACTTACAAAGCATGTAAAGGTCTGTAATTTTTAAATCATAGGTACATTTCAAAAGTGAGAGATTGAATCTAAAACAAAAACCCAGAAAATCAAATTGTATGATTTTTAAATAATTCATTTGCATTTTATTGCATGACATAAGTATTTGATACATCAGAAAAGCAGAACTTAATATTTGGTACAGAAACCTTTGTTTACGATTACAGAGATCAAACATTTCCTGTAGTTCTTGACCAGGTTTGCACACACTGCAGCAGGGATTTTGGCCCACTCCTCCATACAGAACTTCTCCAGATCCTTCAGGTTTCGGGGCTGTCACTGAGCAATACGGACTTTCAGCTCCCTCCAAAGATTTTCTATTGGGTTCAGGTCTGGAGACTGGCTAGGCCACTCCAGGACTTTGAGATGCTTCTTACGAAGCCACTCCTTAGTTGCCCTGGCTATGTGTTTCGGGTCGTTGTCATGGTGGAAGACCGAGCCACGACCCATCTTCAACGCTCTTACTGAGAGAAGGAGGTTGTTGGCCAAGATCTCACGATACATGGCCCCATCCATCCTCCCCTCAATACGGTGCAGTCGTCCTGTCCCCTTTGCAGAAAAGCATCCCCAAAGAATGATGTTTCCACCTCCATGCTTCACGTTTGGGATGGTGTTCTTGGTGTTGTACTCATCCTCCTTCTTCCTCCAAACATGGCGAGTGGAGTTTAGACCATAAAGCTATATTTTTGTCTCATCAGACCACATGACCTTCTCCCATTCCTCCTCTGGATCATCCAGATGGTCACTGGCAAACTTCAGACAGGCCTAGACACGCGCTGGCTTGACCTTGCGTGCATTGCAGGATTTTAATCCATGACGGCGTAGTGTGTTGCTAATGGTTTTCTTTGAGACTGTGGTCCCAGCTCTCTTCAGGTCATTGCCCAGGTCCTGCCGTGTAGTTCTGGGCTGATCCCTCACCTTCCTCATGATTATTGATGCCCCACGAGGTGAGATCTTGCATGGAGCCCCAGACCGAGGGAGATTGACCGTCATCATGAACTTCTTCCATTTTCTAATAACTGCACCAACAATTGTTGCCTTCTCACCAAGCTGCTTGCCTATTGTCCTGTAGCCCATCCCAGCCTTGTGCAGGTCTACAATTTTATCCCTGATGTCCTTACACAGCTCTCTGCTCTTGGCCATTGTGGAGAGGTTTGAGTGTGTGGACAGTGTCTTTTATACAGGTAACGAGTTCAAACAGGTGCAGTTAATACAGGTAATGAGTGGAGAACAGGAGGGCTTCTTGAAGAAGAACTAACAGGTCTGTCATTAATTCTTACTGGTTGTTAGGTGATCAAATACTTATGTCATGCAATATAATGCAAATTATTTAAAAATCATACAATGTGATTTTCTGGATTTTTGTTTAAGATTCTGTCTCTCAAAGTTGAACTGTACCTATGATAAAAAATTACAGACCTCTACATGCTTTGTAAGTAGGAAAACCTGCAAAATCAGCAGTGTATCAAATACTTGTTCTCCCCACTGTATGCTGAGCAAGGCACCATTAAGCTATGAGATTTAGTGAAGGAGAATCTTACAACAAGCGGGTTTATTTTTATTTCGAATACTCACATACAACTTGAACACATACAGAGAGGCAGCTTTATGTGTTTGTGTTGACATCAAACAAATCCACATGATACACCAGCCAGTCTCAGGGAGTGTATTTACAAGGGCTAGACAAAATAATACCAACGCCTTATGTACAATAACATAAACTATGATGGAAGGTAATCAAATTCACAAATAAATAGGTGGGTCATTTTAAGCTACATGGAAATTAGCTCATAAGCTTCCAAAGCAGCATAAGAAAAATAATCTGTTCTTAAAGTGCACAGATAAGAGAAAATCTGCAAAGGTATTTTATTATGACATGAAAACCATGACAACATATGCAAACATAAACAAACTGTAGTGACAAAGACCAACATCAGTCACGAGTTGAAAATACTTGACAGACATTATAAGTTCAACTAGCCATGAAACTTAAGTATGTGCACAGCCATGGTCACACTGTTTAAAAAAAAAAATTTTTTAAAGTGCCAGCGCAAATGACTGAGGCGTCAAAGGATTTGTCTATGATTTAGCTGAGATCTAGTTGCTTTTGTCAACCTCAGCCAAGACTAACGTCACAACTGCCAGAGCTGCCGCTGCCAAACCCCCTACACAAGTTGACCCTTGAACCAGCAGCTGTTCTTAGCTAGACTGCAAATTGAGGATACAAATCAGTATCTTCAAATGTAAGCGTTAAATTAAGTGCCCGCAATATCAAATAATAGAGTGTAATGTTCTGACACACAATATGGCCCAAAGTCTTTAGAGCCTTTCTTCTCTCTTTGAGTGTGACGCAGGAAAGGCTGGCACTCTCATCCGGCTTTCACAAAGTTGTTAGGTGTTAAGATGGACTGGGCCAGGATATTTTGGATGGTCACAGTATTGGATGAATCACACTGGTGTGGTGCATTTGAAGAACAGAGCTGATGCAGGCCTTAACTAAAGACACATTTTGTAGACTCCTTTGGTGTATCCGTTCCATGCTGGAGGTCCTGTTAATCTATTGAATTTTAGAGTTTGTATGCATTTTCTCCTCTTACTATGGGTTTGAGCACACTTGACAAGCCTTTACTCACAAAACTGAGGAACACAGGCAAACAATGGATATTTTTCAAAGTCTCTCAAACCTGCAGTCTGAAGAGTAATTTCTGAAAAGCTCATGATGAACACAACCTTAAATATCATCTACATCGTCTATACAGTTGAATTGGCATATCTTCAAATGCAGCTGAGACTTTGCAATGTACATGAACACACCTTCCATTGCCAGACTATTAGGTAAATTTCGCAAAAAATACAAAAACCCTGTTTAACTGAGCCATTGATTTAACTTTGTGGTTTGATTAGCATCACTGTTGAATTGTATTTTGTTACACTGGGATGATTGTAAGATTTTTTGCACCCCACTTACATCAACGAGGGAAGACTAAATATGAGACAACTCTTGTCTCAAACAAATGAACTACTTTACCTATTTAGGCTACTTATAAATATTGCATACAGAAAACAAATTGCTTCTCATATTGATTAAATTGACAGATAAATATTTTTTGTTTCTGGGTAATTATTTCGATCAATCGACGCATAAAAACTTTAAAATATTTTGGGGGTTTTGGATGCCTGTCCCTGTCAGACTAGGACTGGTCGTGCTAATTAACGTTAAGTAAGTTAAACAATCAAACAAGGTCCCTTAGAAACAAATCCCCCAGGAATATGTTTCAGTTGTGAAGGAGACCTGTAGGTCAGTTACAGGCTAATATTTGACAATGTGTCCCTTTTGGGTAATAATGAAACCGTTAATTCAATCTGCATTCATGAGACAAGCTAAAGCTAGCTGGGAGCTAACTTAATATTAGCTCACTCTATCAGTTTGGTTAAGATACTCACATCGTTGAAGCCTCCATAAGTTGTCTTGTAGAATTCGTCCTCTTCTTCAGCATCCAGTAATTTTGACATGCGATTACCCGCAGTTTTTCTGGGTTCTCGGCCAACTGCCAGTGTCATGGCTGTAATTTATAAATATTGTTAACTAACGTTCACGTCTGGCTAGGAAGGTGTCTACCTAGTGTTGTGCTAGCTTAACCGTGATAGGCTGTTTTGGGGGACCTCTTCTACCTCGTCGTTACTCGCTGCGCTGACTCAATTAACTTATCTGTTGGTGTCCATAATTATTAAAGATATGAATAAGCTTTAAAGCCACGCTAATGTGCTGAAAACGGTTCCTTATTAGATGACTGTGGTAACACAAGCTAAAAACACAGCTAACCGCTAACATTAGCCGCTGCCTTCTGTTAGCTTACCAACACATCCGGAGCAGTTGATGTACTTCCGGGCTAACGTTGTGCAGACAGAGCAGCCACGTTACAGCGCTATGTTCAAAATGAAATTGCTGTTAACTTAATATTTATACAATATCTACAAGTTCTCTTTGGCAGTTGTGATGAACAGTATCATATTGTAAGTCTTGTTTATCGGCTTGTTATAATAGAAATTAACTTTACAAAGACACAAAGTGATATAATTACACTGCTTTTACTTAAAGGTTCAGTGTGTAAGTTTTAGTGGCACCAACAGTTCACACTGCATCCAATTGCTCCTTACAAATTACTACTTTGTAATTAATGTAATTAGTTGTAATGACAACTGTAAATACAGCAGCAAAACACCTGACTTTGAACCTTTTCTCCATGAGGTTGTACATTATATCAATTTAATTTCTAAATCCAACAACAAAAAGGCTGAAAACATTACGCATATGGTCCTTTTTTAGCAGATCACTGCTACAGATTTACCCAGAGTTTATGTTCAAATTAAAACAGTGTTGAAGTGTTATGTGACTTTATTTGGTGATGTGAAACATTACTTTAAATTGTGCACAGTGAAAACACTCACATAGCAAACACAATGCATTCTGCTACTTATGTTACCCATTTATATTTCGGACCAAGAACCAAACAAAAAATGTAAAGTGACTTTATTTGAAAGCACAATCACTTTATTTTATGTTTTTTAGAAAGCAAATGTATAAAGGAAAAAACATACATTCCACACCATCCATAAAATAACGAGTACATTAATTTGACAATATTAGAATACAAGCAAAAAAATCAAATTAAGTAGAAATTACATTCTATATACATGAAAGTTTTGTGTACATTAACCTTAATATAAGGATAACATTCCTATTATATCTTCTAGTTATCTCATAGCTATCATCCATCATGTTAATAATGAGTATTTTAATGAATAAGTCTACTATTTAATCAGTTCTTCAGAAACCAAATGAACAAAACAAACAAATAAACCATTTGTCAACCAGGCGAACCTATAAACTAAGTCCTTGCTTCTATATATAGGCCTAAACTTCAACCAGGGCAATATAAGCAACAAACAATTAACTGAAGAATTTACATCTCTACATATCACATGCATTATGCTTGTTAAATCTTGCTTACTTTGGTTGCTTTACATTCAGACTATGTTTTAGTGGAGCTTCTGTCTCATAAAAGAGACATGAGGCATGAAAAATAAAGCTCATAAATGATGTATCTCTTGGTTAGATGTTCCTAAATGTAACTTTAAATCATCTTAATGTCTGAAGGACCGATACTAGCGCTATGTACTGTATGTAAGCAACATAAGCACTTGCTAACATGCTCACATTTAAATGAATTAATCAACAGCCGCTGTTGGATACAAGTTAACATGCAAAATTCAATACTTTAAATTGAGAAGTTACATTTTGCAATTTATAAGCCCTTAATGTACCAAGTCAAACCAACTGGGGATATATATAAGTTTTAAACTTGTATAACTCATATTAGTTTCATTGTGAACCTGCCTGTCTCCATATAGTTCCCTGTCCCTCCGTTACTACTTGACATGGTGCTTCGTGGCACATATGCTATTGTGGCCGTGTGCTTTATTTGCCCTTTACTCCTGCTCCAGAAAAACATAAAGATGAAGCATATGCTCACAGAGCTGAAAAATGAGAGAAATCCAATGGTTGCAGCTATCAGTAACGTCTTGACATCAAATGGGAGTTGCTCATTTTCATTTACACCTGGAGAGGCAGAGGGAAAGGCAAACCAGCCATTAAGAAGAAAGGGGTTTTTAGAAGATGATGGAAAGCCTCGGACATGCAGGCTGACAGATAGGCTGTTATTTCCTGCCGCATTAGATGCCACACAAAGATAAGTGCCACTATCTTGAGGTTGAGCATAGCGAACCTCCAGCGAGCCGTTAGAAAGAGCTCGTATTCTACCAATGGGTGATAAAGGTTTTAGCTGTGGGTTTAGCCAGGTGACAGATGGCAGAGGGTCACCTTCAGCACTGCAATAAAACACCACCGTGTGTCCCTGATCTACTCTCACTTCTTGAGGTTTGCGGTTCAGAATTCGAGGCTGCTGACATGCGAGCAGGCCTGGGAGCTCAGCTTCAGTAAAGTCTAGGAAATTCCAGCCTTGCAACTGGACCGAGGTAGTGCAAGTCGGCGTATTTTCACCAAAGTCCAGATGTAGTCGTCTTCGCACAACCCACAGCAAACGGCAATCGCACACTAGTGGGTTGTTATCAAGTCCCAGAGTTTTTAGGGTGTCCACTGAATGAAAAGCTCCCACCTCGAGTGTGGTGAGGAGGTTTCTAGACACATTAAGCAATTTGAAATGTGCTAAGCCCCTGAAGGCTCCGATTTCAATGCATAGCAATGATCCCCGCACCAGACGGAGCTCTTGGAGCCGGAGCAAGTCTCCAAGCCGGTTCCCATGAATGTAGGTGATTGGATTAAAAGAAAGGTCAAGATATACAAGATATACAAGATGATGCAAAGGGATGTACGGGACAGCACTGAGGTTAGAGTGTATAATGGTGAGGGATGTAAGATTTAGGCCGAAGAGACTGTTTCCTGACAGAGTCTCCAGCCAGGGGCAATGAGAAATGACAAGTTCCTTGAGACGCTCTAGATGACGGAAAGAGTAGTTTGGCAGCGTGGTGAGGCCCAGTCTGTGAAAATGAAGACTTCTCAGCCCACCAAGCTGTGTGAGTGCCTCTGTCGGCACAGCGGTGAGGTTGCAGCCGTCAAGGTGCAGCTCTTGCAGACTGGTTAAGCCAGTGAAAGCTTGATGAGAGATGAAAACAAAGTCGTTACCCACTGCTTTAAGAAACTGCAGAGCAGCCAAGCCACGGAAGGTAAAATCTAGAAAAACAAGGATCTCATTGCCGCTTATGTCTAGCAACTTCAGTTTTGGCAAACCAGCAAACGCTCCTACAGGAATAATCTTCAGGTGGTTGCGAGCGAGACGCAGAGTTATCAGACTTTGCAAGCCGAGAAACGCCTCCACTTCAATTATTACCATAATATTGTCACTCAAATCCAAGTCCAGAAGCCGTGTCAAAGTCTGGAACTGCTGATGCACCAAAGTCTTGATCTTATTATGTGTTAAGTTTAGTAGTTTAGTGTCTTGTGGGAGACCGTCGGGCACTGTGGTGAATTGGCCGTCAGAGCAGTTCACCTCCAGCAGCATATTTGTACAGCGGCAGGGCTGTGGGCGGCAGGGAGTTTCAGAACTTAATGACACCCTCTCAGCCAACAGGAAGAGAGCTCCCCAGCACAGCCATCGGTGGACGCCAATCCCTTCAAACATCTGGTGGCCTGCCTGTGTGTGAGAGAGTTAGAGAGACAGCTGTGAAAGGAGAGAGAGAGGGGTCATATTTACTGACATCTCATCAGTAAAAATGGGAGAAATGTGACTTTGGTTGACAGGAAGTTGATTTTCACAACCAGACAGCTGCTCACAGAGGGTCCTCTCTTTGTAGACTTACAGATACTGAAGATGAAATAAGACAGAAATCTAAGGAAGGGTTGTCAGATGGTGATGCTGAATCATCTTTCTCAAACCGTGAATGTCAATGACTTTCTGTTTAAATATTTATGTTGTTTATAGTGCTGCAATAATCCAAGACCATAAGCTACAGAGGTATCAATGGTGTCATCCATCCTGAAACAGCCTCGGACAAGCCAAATAACTCTAACTATATATATAGTCTCCTCTCTCTTCTTGACCGTCCTCTCTTATCTTGTCTTCTTCCTGTAAAGCATTTTGTAACTTCTGTTGTGTTATATAAATAAAGTTTTCTTGCTCACTTCCTTTCAATTTTCTTTGCCTTCATTAAGCAGTCAGGCTGTTTTCACACTTGAACTGTTGTTCTTGCAGGTTTAAATTATTTTTATCTCCCTGACACATATACACCTAAGCCACCTCAATTTACAGACCACCAACAGAGGCAGTTGAAAGTTCCTCAAAGATAGTAAGTGGGCCTTGAGTTTGAGATTATTATTTTTCTCAAAGGCCAAGAATAACCCCCTATGCTGAGGGTGATATTCTCTGCAGTGATAACACTTAACTTGACTTAACTCATAGTTAAATAAAGGCTGGCTGCTGTTGTAGACTAAAACTATTTTCACCCCCCATCAAAGATGCTCCTGTCCTGTGGATACTTGCCAGCTTTAACAGGAATGATTAAATATATATATAAAAAAAACAAGAACAGGTTGTCAACCCAATCTTTTTTTGTTTTATTAATGCTGTTTGAAAGCAGGAATAGGGAAAAAGTTTAAACCTGTACTGCATGAGACTTAATGCTGTGTCCCCTCCATTATTATGAAGATCATCTCTCTCTGGGCTAATTATAATGTCAGAGGAACACATATTTACGGCATTTATTACATTCAGTCTTTAATATTCTGTTATTTATACCACAGACTGATTCAACTGGAAAACAAGGTAAAAACCTTTAGCAACAAAATGTTGGCAAGGAAGTCTGGTGGTCTTTACGACTAAATATTCCTCATAGCTAATGTGAATTTGTTTTGGGACAAAACCCCTGAACTTTATAGGATTTAGTTTTTTTGTTGAAGGGGTATAGTAATCTGACCCAGTGAAGCACAGATCATATTGCTTTTCTCTTGGTCTATATCCTTTTGCATGATTTCCTGTAAGGTGCAACATCTAAGATATATAAAACGTTTAATGTCACAAGAAGAAGGTTTGTGTAGCCACCCAATACAAATATGCTAACAGTTGGTCGATTTAATACTTAATATAAGTAATATTCACATATTTCCCGTGATATCTGTGCTTGTCCTCAAATATGGCCACTTTAAAAAAAGCAAACAATAAAACAAAAAAACCCTATTTGGCTCCAGCAAAAGGTAGAACAAGGTCTGAACTTCACATTTTACATTATGAGTTTATTTCTTGATGCCCAGATCCAGAGTGAGAGGGGTTTAATTCAACCCTGGGACTATGATAATGTGACAAATGTCACAAGGAATGGTTGCCACTACAGATGAGATCGAAAGCTCTCACTTCATTTGAACCTCTGCTAAATCCACCACTAGGGGGAAGTAAAAGGAAAATATATTTGTGGACAGTATGTCCAGGTCTAACTCTTGCATAACACTGCTTGAAAATTAACTGTAACTGGGAATAAAATGCCCCGTTACAGTCAGATTGTGATCAGTAATCACATAATGCCCCATAACTCCAAAAATAATTGCTGCAACAATTTATACTGACATGCCATATGACCATGAAAACAGACATCATTGCTTTTAACGGAAAAACAAGAATGAGAGCATGCAAAGCAAGTAGTCTGTAAAAATGACCAAGGTTGAACAGGTCATAAAAGTATGGTTTGCTAAAACACACCGACCAACTGTGACATAATGACGTAGTGACGTTCCTTCATGATTTTAAACTTAATCACTAAACTTGTGGTCACCTAGAAAACTCCACCTAGAGAGTCTAATATCTCAGCAAATAAAGACACACTCTGAGTGAATCAGGGTGATTTCACCTCTTACTGTATTTAAGATCGCATTTTTAAAGGAGGTAATTTCATCTCGACACAGCTATGGGTATGGATCTGGGGAAAACTGTATAGTCTCATTGCTGGTGATGACAGCAGCTCCCCAGAGCAGTGAATGATGGAGGCTGACTCCTCCTGAACTCCTCTGGGAGCGCACATTCTAGAGAGTGAAAATAGCGTAAAAAGGTGAAATTGCAGTTATTTACTGTGGCCTGACAGCTTCAAGAGCGCAAATACAATGGCTGGTATTATAAAAGGCTCAGTATTACAGTAATCTTGTGGGGGACAAAATGAAAATCAAGTATTGTAACTCACCGTCTCTTCAGTCTGAAGGGCTTGTCATTGTGCTAGCTCCGTTTTCACAATTTTGCAGTAAAAAAAACACACAAGAGAGCAAGTGTTTTTTTTCTGAAATGGCTTCTGGATAAATTGTTGATACAAGCAACGAGAATTCAAAGAGCAGAGTACATCTCTTTTGGTGTATCAGGTCCACCTCCAAACTGTCTGTTACTCAAAAGTACATCCAAATGAAACCTGGAATGTGAGAGAGGCAGACAGACATATCATCAGAGGATCGCTTCATCCTCCCATTCTGAAATATTCAACCTCCGGAGGAAGCGCGTTGCTGCAGCTCGGTTCCCCTGTTGCTTCACTGTCCTCATGGCAACAACAACCTGGCTCTGGACGCGCGGGTGCTTGGTGCATGCTGGGGGATTATATGCACTAGCTCCTGGACTCGATCCAGCACACTGCACTGGATGACAGGAGGCAGGCACACAGGTCAGCCAAACACAGAGATTTAGGAGCAACACCAGATGGGAATAAATTGAAGCACAGACACTTATAAAGGAATATCTCTTCAGCTTTATGGTCTTTCAGGATCTTAATACTGACATGTCTTAACATTAACTGTGTGATGTGTAAAAAAAAATATATATATATACACATATATATATATTCAAATAAACCCTAATGTGTGAACTCTGTTATGTCTTACGTCGCTGAGACAAATTTACAAAACTTGAATGAACGGTGGCACTGGGAGCATGTGAAATAAAAAAAAACAACCATATCTTAAAAGGCGCATGAGACACAATTACTACATAGAAGGGTTTTGTAGCATGCAATTGAGTAGGCTATGACCCTGAATGTGTACTCCAGTCACTTTAGGCTGTGAGTATTAATGAATGCCAATATGGCAACTCACCCAGCTTCTCTCTTTTGATGTTCACATCAGACTCCCAGCTCGGCTTGTTCCTCATCAAACAAAACCAGGAAATAAAAAATGTACTGAAGTGAGGGGAAATGTCACATATACACAACAACATTAATATTAATATTGATGTAAGTGATAATGAAATATGGAACACAACAATATAACATTGTGGAAATAACTACAGATGATATAAAGTCCCACGGTGTACGGCAAAGAAAGGCAAGGCAGGTTTAGTTGTGTGGCTCGTTTCAACATCAAGGAGACAAAGTGCTGAACATACTGTAAGACAAAAAGATACAATACACCACACAAAAGAAACTTAAGGCAAAAAAAATAGACACATAAAAATTGGGGTTTTAAAGAGAAACGAAAATTTAATCAGATAAAACAAGAGGTTAACGCGCAATGCCTATGCAGTACAAGTTATGAATGAATAGTCACACATTTATTTAACTTTTACAGCTAAATTACACATGAATTACATAATTAAGGATGTAGTGGGTACACCAAGGGTACAGTAGTATAAGTATGATTGGTTAGAGAGACTGCTGAAATTGGGGACCAGGCTGAGAAAAGGATAAGGATCTACTAAGTGAGGAAGTTGATTAAGTCTGTGAATATGTTTCTGCAGCTCTGATATGGAAACTAAAACCTGTTGTGGTTTTAATCAGTTTAAACCTCACCACAATAGGTTAAACTGTAGTTTGGGGTCACAGAAAATGCTGGTTACCAGACAAAAGTATGAAATGTAATTTTAGCCACACTTGCAGGGTTGGATTTCACAGATTTCCCTCACAAGGTCCAACAAGAGTGACACATATTCTCTGTCAATAATAAACTCAATGGATGATCAGACAACAATCCATAGAAATGCATGAATCCTTGTGTTTTTCAGCGGTCCCATTTCCTTACATTGACATTGCATACAAATGGTGTTTTAGAACACATCAGCTGATTCGGTTCTAGGATCACAATAATAATTAGTAATTCAGTAGTATTATCTTGGTTTGGTTCGACGTTGTTTTCTTCTCCCCTCTGTGACTGAATGATCTCTTATCTCATCCCATGTCTGTAAAAGACTTGAATAAGGCTTCATAAAAATAACAGATGTCAGTTTATTTGTGCAGTTCCACATTTGGGATTTAGCCGTTCACTACACCCTCGTTAATTGTATTTTTCAAACAACTTATTGTTTAATTAGCAAAACACTCACTGCAGATTAAATTAGAGTTTAAAAAACAATCAGGTATTTGAGTAAAATTCTGCTCAGCTGCAGCATTATGAGGTGTGTTGACACAAAAGGTGCGTGATCACCACAGAAGAAGAGCCGGTGCTGAGTCAGGACCTTACCATCTGGTGCCTCAGGGAGCCTGCGTTCATCAGCGAATCTCTGTCCAACAGGAGGAGGATAGCGCCAATTACAGCCTCGGCCAAATCAGAGCTCCTAATTGCATAATATCCTGTCTTTTTATCATCATAGTGTGTCGTCATTGCTGCTCCCTGCTGTGGTGACTGCTGCAGTGTTTGTGGGAAATTCTCTTTTTTCTCAGTGGCAGAGGGCTTACATGTCAGACTATTTCCTTGCTTGGTGAAGTAACTTCCTGAAGTCTCTGTAACCTCTAAGCAATGACAAGACACTGCTCTGGGCCAAGAGATAGTTCAACACATACAGTAGGCAGACTTTGTTACCATTTGGATGGATCTAGGCAACCTGTTTCCCCGTTTCCAATCTTAATGCTAAGCTAAACTAACCAACTGTGGGCTGTAGCTTCTTATTTAACATTCAAGCATTGTACAAGTACAATCTTTCATCGAACTCTTGTCAAAAAAGTCTATAAGCACATTTTCCAAAATGTTGGACCACTCCTTTAAAGACCTATAGGCCAACAGGGTGCACAAAGTTTCTCAACAACAATAACAACCCGCTCTGTCTCTACTGACTTATTCACGTTTTGTTCAAAGACAATACACCAGCACACCAGTTCTTTAGTTCTTTCTGTCATCTAATAAGGAAAGTGTAGCTGCATATGTTTTTATACATTACAAAAAATTTTAATTACATTATTTAAAAATGTATATTCCATCAGTGGCACAATCATCAACAGCAAGAACTTTGCATTCAAACATTTTAATTTAAAGAAATAAATAAACTGATTTTTCCTGATTAAAGTGCATTTTGTGTCTTTTTGTTGTTGTTTATTTGTTTGTTTTACCGTATGTGTTAACATATCCACGCAAAGAAGCAGCTGTAAATATGAGACACGGGGGAGGAGGTTGACACTAAAGCAAAGTAAACAACAATTACAACTTCACACCACAACCTCTCACACAAACAGGAACCTTTGGGCAAGAATTTACAAGAATCCACACAATAAAGCAACAAACGTTAGCCAAGAATAAACCGAAGCTTAAACCACCCCCAACCTCCAATCCATCCCAAAAACGAAACTGTCCCTATTTATAAATCCAGTATGTCTAAAAGTGAAGAACCTTAATGCTGTGAAGTTTCTTTTCCTCACAAAGGTCAAACTCACTGCAGCTCTCATCACAAACTCAGTCTGACTCTGTCAGCACAAGTGTTAACGTGGTTTAATGTTCTTGCAAAATAACAAGCTCAGCCCATGTGTCAATGTCAAACAAAATTCTGTATTGAAGTGATTAATACGGAACTAGAAAATGGTGATAGATGGTTAAAACTACACTATTTCCATCAGTTTATCACAGTTTCATTATCACAAATCATCAATGGATTTGCCACATTCTTTCTCAATTCCTCACTAAATATCTCTCTCCAAAGTTGATTTGTTTTACATGTATTTTCCTCCACAAGCAGTTTCATTTACATGTACTTCTATCGTACGTTTTGTCACTTCCACCTAAGGTACTGGAAGGGTATTTTGAGCTACTGCAGCTGGTTGTAAATTAGACTCACATGACAAACCAGACAGCAGATTCACTGAAAGACAGAGTTGAGTAACAAAAAAAACAACAGTGTGTGTATGAGGAAACTGTACTTCCTCTTTTAAGTGTGAAGTTTTCTCTGGTCCGTTAAAAACGTGTGCACTTTCTTGCCGGGACAAAATAGCCCTGCTCTTTATTCTGCAACAAGGTAAATGTAAACTATTTCTCTCTCTAGATATATAATAATGCATTCAGACTGTTTGGCTGATATTCTAAGTTGAGATCAACTGCTTGTCAAATCTAATGGCTACACCGTGTGGATAAATGAGCTATCAGAGAGTAGAAAAGATATGCTGAGAAAGAAGCTCAGAGATTACAGTGAAACGGGTTAATGTCTCCATTTTGAGATTGACATAGCCTTTAAAAAGTCTGCAATGCTAGAAAACAGCCGGAAGCTTTTTAAATTCTTATCTAGCTTTCACATTTAAGTTTTACAGGCTGCACATTGCTCTCTGCAGTTGAGTATCAGCAATCATGACTGTGTTTACTCTTAAAAGCAATATATTATGTTGTATGTTGTATGTTTTAGACTAGACTAGGCAAGCACTGTGCACATTTAACAGTCTCTAATGTTGATTAACGTGCATATATGAATATTTTCTACAGCTGAAAGATTTCACGAGGACGCTTGTCAGCTTGTTCATCTAGAGGCAGCATCAGTCCCTGGGGGCATTTCATTTTTGAGCTCGCATTTACAATTAAGTAGCCTATAAATTGTAATGAAATCCTGGAAAATGTCCATCACAATTTCCCATAACCTAACGTGACGTCTTCAAATTGCTTATTTTGTCCAACCACTGGGAAAAAAAGAGAAAAAAAGTGACAAATTGGAAAACTGGAATTAAAAATGACTTAAACAACAAATCAGCAACTAACTGATTATATTACTCTATTATTATTAAGTTCTAGTAAGAATTACATTGTTTTGTTTTTTGTTTGTTTGCAGGATGCACATTTTGTGTGCTGTGCTGCTCTTGGTCTTTCTGGTCCTCGGCCACTCTTCATCTGCCTTAAATAAAGTGTGGGAAGAATGGAAAATCAAACATAGCAAGGTTTATGATAATCATGTAGGAAAAAACTTTAATTTCCCTTTTTTGTCATCACACACACACACACACCATCAGATCATTCAGTCAGTGTTTGTGTTTCAGACCGAGATCGTTTTCAGGAGAGCAGTGTGGGAGAAGAACATGCAGTTGGTGTTGAGACACAACCAGGAGGCTGCAGCAGGAAAACACAGCTTCACATTGGGACTTAATCATCTGGCTGACATGGTAGGAATCTGCTCCAAAGCTCCAGTCTGAGTCTCCTGCTCTGCAAACTGGTCGTCTAAATATTCTAGTGCTGAATCCTGACAGACAGTTTGGAGTAATTCATCAGTAGCATTTAAATGGCTTTAACGGACAAAACTGCAGAGGATTGTATCAAAGCAGAAATGTAGATAGTGTACTCTTTGACTGAGATAAATCCAAAGTAATAATTCCATTAATTACCCAAAAACTATGTCCAGGGCTCATTCAAATACCAAGGAAATGAGAAACACAGTTTACAGAAAAACTGCTGATACTGTTCAAAACCAGTTGCAAATTTACAAGACCCACCCTCAAACCAGGACAGCTGACTCAGTCAGACAGAAAACAAGGGAAATGTTAACCTATTTAGTAGTTTTTCTGATCAACAGAAACTAGCAGCCTCTGCTGCCACCAAGTAGTCATGTGCAATACCACTTACCTCCTTTACAATCCGATACCAAGTTATATCCAGGCTGGTATTGCCAATACTGATACTTTTACATATTTTATATCTGGTTTAATATCTAGTTTAAGGTGACCTGCCCAATTCTGTATTGATGAGGAAAATAAAAAGTTGGCTGTCGGCTTACCACTTCCAAATTATAGCTGCTTAATGACAAGACATCAAACTACTGTTGTATTCTTTAATTATAATAAAAATCATAACATCGTCATCGTAGAAAACATCAAGAAACTTCCACCAAGGTAATCTTTACTGCATTTCTCACTTTTGTGGTGCATGTTGAGCCCTCCTGCACAGATTTGTTTATATCAGACAGTCTGGAATGTAATATTTATTTTCTCACCAATTTGTAATTTCAATTATGACATGCATCACACCTTAGCAACAAATTGTCTTTATTTTGCTCAGCTAATTATAGTAAATTGTTTGGATTATTGTTAGCCTTACATGTTAATCAGAGTTTCATTTTATTGAACCTTAAGTTTGTTGGCTGGCTTTTACATTATTATACATATCCCATGACTCATAAGTCACTAACAGGCTAAACAACAGTAGCCTTGTGCCGACCATAAAAGACCCATCTGTAGCATTACAGAAGAAAAGTAAACATCCAGACTGACAAGAATGTATCGTAATGTAGAGACCTCTGGTGGACACAAACAGCATGACAAACTTGTCTTCAATATGTTACCTAAAGGACTCCACTCCCTCCCAGGGCATGTGAGGACATATGCTTGACATCATAACCTGTGCCCACCTGTGCAGAGTGCATTTTACACTCAGTGACCTATGCTGGTGCAAGAAAAATGTCACTAACCAACACTGTTAATCTGCATTTAAACCAGCACCCTCTCTGTGGCTTATTGTAAACCCTAACCTACAGAGCAGCTATAATCTTCCTTTATACAATCTGATTAATTTAATCCAGTATGGCTGGGCAAATCGGGGACACTCATGAAGTACAGTAAGGCCGTGGCTCAGGAGTTGGGGTGGGTCCTCCACTAATAATGGTGGTTCCATCCTCAGTTCCTCCAATCTGCATTGAAACGTTGTGTCAAAGTGTCGATGAGCAATTGTACTGACCCCCACATTGCTGTGACTGTGTGTTTGAATGTTGATGTACAGTTGCAGATAGTATGAATGTGTGTGAATGTGATGTGTTTATTGAAAAGCGCTTTGAGTGCTATATAAGTACAGTCAGTATATAAGTACAGTGTGTACCATTGTGGCAAATTCAGTTCTGGTATTAAAGAAACACAAACTTTTAAAGCAGAAAGAAAACACCAATTACATGATAATCCTAATAACAATAAATATACACCGAACAAAATTATAAATGCAACACTTTTGCTTTTGCTCCCATTCATCATGAGCTGAACTCAAAGATCTAAGACTTTCTCTATGTACACAAAAGGCCTATTTCTCTCAAATATTGTTCACAAATCTGTCAAAATCTGTATTAGTGAGCACTTCTCCTTTGCAGAGATAATCCATCCACCTCACAGGTGTGGCATATCAAGATGCTGATCAGACAGCATGGGTGTTGCACAGGTGTGCGTAAGGATGGCCACGATAAAAGGCCACTCGAAAATGTGCAGTTCCATCACACAGCACAATGCCACAGATGTCGCAAGCAAAAAGGAGTGTGCAATTGGCATGCTGACTGCAGGAATGTCCAGCAAAGCTGTTGCCTGTGAATTGACTGTTCATTTCTCTACCATAAGTCATCTCAAAAGGCGTTTCAGAGAATTTGGACATCCAATCAGCCTCACAACTGC